AGCCATGATAATTACGGACACTCCAAGTAGACTATTTAAAAAGATATTGATAGATTTTTACGGATCGATCAACAAACAATCGGCCCACAACAATACACACGTCTTATCAATACAGGATTGGTTAACCAAATACATAGTGCTAGCCCCTGTACAGAAAGCAACTGCAGAGGAAACTGTAAGAGCCCTAACGAACAAATTCATAGCATATTTCGGAGCTCCAGAGAAATTATTATTGGATAGGGGGACACACTTCATGAACAGAACCATTAAAGAATTTGCGAAACTATTTAAAATCGACAAAATTGGGAGCACAGCTTACCACCCCTAAAGCAACAGTGCAACCAAACATATGCATCACGTCTTGACAGAATATTTGAAAGCATACGTCAGCCAGACTGAAAAATGGGACGAAGTATTACCACTGTGCGCACTGGCATACAACACATCAGAGCATGTAAGCACAGGGTACTCCCCATACGAACTCGTACTCGGCCAATGTGCAAAACTTCCCTCAAGCTTTGAACAGCTGGAAAAAGGACATACGTATACGGGACTGCTAGAACAAATAACAGAGAACCTCACACAACTACGAACGCTAGCAGTAATGACACACTTACAAAATAAGTACAGATCAAAATACTATTACGGCAAGAAACTAAATACACAGTTCTTCATGGAAGGAGAAATAGTATATGTAATAATAGAACCGTCTAAAGAAAAGTACGACAATCAATTTGAGGGGCCATATGAGATAACAGGTATAGATTACAAAAACAACAATGTAAAATTACAAAGGGACAACGAAATACGCGTAGCACATGAAGACAAAATCAAGAAAGCATGCATATTGAAATCCCCGCACACACTGCAAAACGAGAACGAAAGAGAGCAAGATAATACAGAATAACCACGCACTCCCTTATTCGCGACCCTCGGACGGGCAAAAGAAAAAGAAAACAACAACAGAGAGAATAAATAATCAGAGATACAAACAAATGCAGAAAAAAAAGCAACAGAGAGAATAAATAAACAGAGATGTAAACAAATGCAGGAAAAAAAACACACACAGAGAAATAACACAATTACATACTAGAAATCAAGCACCCCCTTCCTACGATATTAAAGTTGACTGGCACAGGCAGCAATCACTAAAAATGAACCCTTTTCCCTTTTCTCTCTTTCGTGGCCCTCGGACGCGCCACGTAAGAAAACACATCGAAAGCCGGCAAACACACGTAAACAATTACACGAAAAAAAATGAAAGTCTAAAATTAATGAAAATAAAGCAAACAGAAAGCATGTGAGGTGCTACCTAGATCGAAACTCCAGAATAAATATGAGGAGTCAGTTTACCCAGGGTTAACAAAAAAAAAGAATGAGGTGGTTAAAGGAATAGAATTATACTTACAACAGTAGAAATAGGCATAAATAATTACAACAATAACAATAATATAGTAATGATAATAATAATCACAATTTAATAATAATAGTTATAAGAATAGTAAAAATAATAACACAAAAGAAATGTGGAATTTAATAACGGTTAATCTAGTAAAAACATATAGTATAATATAGAAAGACAGGATACGCAGAAACAAACCAGTAAAAGTTGTAGGGAAGAATATTATTTGACTCTTATACGTGGCCCTTGGACTAGCCAGGAGAGAAAGCAACAAATTATACGGAAAGAAAATGTAAAATAACTCATAATTACGTAACCAACAGACATTCAGACAACTGACACACCCCTTTCCTAAAGGAACAATGTTGATAAAATACAAAAAAAATTTTTTTTCTCGTTGTGACCTTCGGACGCACGTGCAAAATAAAAGCAAAGAAAAAAAAAAAAAAAGAAAAGATTATACTTAGGTTAAATTCTTTTGGCTTACAATATCCAACTTACAGGAAAATGTGTTATAGGATATAATATAGAGTTATTATATTTTGCAACCCTTAAAAAGAGAAGGCATTGTCAAAAAAAGGACCAATAAAAATATTGTTAACAATAAGAATATTATATGCTAATACTTAAAACAATAGACAAAATATAATAGGACTTATAATAAATAAGTAAATAATAATAATTTTTTTT